CCATCACTCATTTCCCATCAAATCTGAAAATCAGGGCGGGACGGTGGCTCAGTGGTCAGCACTGTGGCCTGCAAGAAGGTCACTGGTTTGAGTCTCGCCTGGGTCAGTTGGCCTTTGTGTGTGGAGTTTGCATGTTCTCCCCTTATTGGCGTGGGTTTCCCCCACAGTCCAAAGCACATGTGCTATAGGGGAATTGGGTAAGCTAAAATTGGATGTAGTGTATGAGTGTGAGTGTGTATGGGTGTTACTAAGTACTGGGTTGCAGCTGGAAGGGCATCCGCTGTGTAAAACATATGCTGGAATAGTTGGTGGTTCATTCCGCTGTGGTGACCCCAGATAAATAAGGGACTAAGCCGAAAAATCAAAAATTCTGTTCAGAGAAACACCAGTAGACCTAACCAAAGTTAACAAAACATAAAATGAAAACATTTTCGTTAACTGGAGAAGAAACTTTTTTTTTAACTTAATCTGAAAAACTAAATAGGAATGTTTTCACAAAACAAAAACAAACAAAACCATTCATTATTTTCTATTGTATTTTAAAGGTGCAGTATGTAAGTTTGACCCCCAGTGGTTGAAGCAGGTATTGCACTCCTGGTTTAAAACACACACAAGCGCAACATATCAGCGATTCAGCATCTACATTTAATAATGCTGAACTGATTTAATATGTGTTCATCAGATGATAACGCTCAGCATTGTGCTGGAGTGCAGTAAGTGCACTGTTCTGTGCTTCTGAATGGCTGTGTTTACATTTCTGTCCTGTTTCGTCAAACAGCCAAACTGCTCATCACTCTGCATCTCGTCATGTAGCGTGTTGTTAGGACACGGGGCTACAATTTAACCTGCTTATGTAATGTTTACGCTTGTAATATTCATATGATTTGCTCATTAATAACCTCATGTAGAACTCTGAATCTGCATCTCATTTTGGAGTCTGCTACTGTCCACCAGAGGGCGCATTTCAGTCACGGACGCATGCTTAAAGAGCCTTAATGACTGACTGAAGGAAATCCGCTGTTTTCCATCAAGGCAACCCGGGGTAACCTGGCTAAACTGGCAGCGTGTGACTTCAGCATTGAGTTTCAGATAAACAAGAATGTTCACAGAATATGTCTGCAGATATTTCAGACACATGCTCTGGTGTTTTAATGCTTTAGAAGAGTCAGAAACCTCCCATACAGCACTTTTAATACTAAAAACACACAAAAAAGTGTTAAACTATTATAACGGTCTTAATGAAGTGAACTCAAGCTAGCCTGAAACGTACAGCAACTGCAAAAATAATAAATTAAAACTTTATACTAACCTCGTAGCAGCGGCGGGCGCAGTGAGCACCAGCACCCTGAGGTCGGCCCGCTGTCGGCACACGTCGCGCAGTAAACCCAGCAGAACATCTGTGGCTACGGTTCGCTCCTGAGCCTCATCGATGACCAGCACACCGTACTGACGCAGCAGAGGATCTGACATCATTTCCTGCAGCAGCAGAGCATCCGTCACAAACCTGCACACACACACACACACACACACACACACACACACACACACACACACACACACACACACACACAAACACACACAAACACACACACCGCACAGTTCAAGTCTTCACATACCAAGTTCAACATTTTAGTATGCAATTTTTTGTGTGTGTGTGTGTGTGTGTGTGTTACCGCAGTATGGTGTCCGGTGTGCACCCGTCCTCATGCGGGACCCTGTAGCCCACCTCTAACCCCAGACTCAGGTCCATCTCATCAGCAGCGCGGAGAGCCAGACTGCAGGCGGCGGCGGAGTACGGCTGGGTAACACACACCACACCCTGAGAGAACTCATGAGACTGAGCGTACTCCACACACCACTGCGGAACCTGCACACACACACACACACACACACACACACACACACACACACACACAACACGATATTACGCATGCAGAATTGTTAAATCGTAGTAACATTCCACTTTGCATGCTCCAAACGTGATCTTTCGCTCACAGAATTGTCACAAATCGAACTCAATAAATCAGCACCGCCGGGTCAGAGACGTCTGAATGACGCCTGCTGTAAACTGTGGTTTAACCAGTCTCTTTATTAACTAGAGTTCTTCTAGAAGTGCCGCCAGTTGTGCAGAGATCAAGGTTACTATAGTTTTGCATTTTGAGTGAGTTTGGTTTGTATTTTGATGCTATTTTTAGGTTTCCTACATTTATTTATATAAAAATAAACAAGTCGACACATCTACAACTTAAACAAATAAGAAATATGACAAAGAATTAAGACAAACATCCAGTTTTGGATGAATGAATAAAGATGTTTTACATAGAAAAGATGGGTTAGTGCATATATACTCCAGACAGGGGCTGACTTAATGTTTTTGGGAGCAATTCTAGTCCTAGTCCTTCTAGTCCTTCAGTTCTAGGGCCTTCAGTCCTGAAATGCAGCCTTTCTACTGTTATTGAATTTGTATTAATATTGCTGTTTGTTAAATCACTCGTTTTTATTGTAAAATGAATTAACAACTGAAAATAATACATATATTTTGTATAAATTGATGGATATGTTATTTAGTAATATTATTATTTTTACGTAACATTACATTATTGTAATAATGTCATATTTGATTGTATACTAAATCATATTTAATTACATTAAAATTGTATTTGTTTAACTCTCACCATACAAAAAATGGTAGAAAACGATGTTATAAATAGTTTATAGGAATCATTTAAACTTCTAAATATGGCCCACAGATTTTCTGGGGCCCTAAGCGGCTGCTGACCTCGCATATTGGTGGAATCCGCCCCTGATTCCTGCTCTTGACTGTTGTGTTTGCCGCCACCTACTGGTGTTCCTCTAAACAGCCGCAGGTCAGATTTAAAGCCACGCTATGACTGCTGACTGCTTAATAACTCTGAGAATGTTTGTTATCTGCACTCACTTCTGCAGATCTATGTGCCCTCCAGAAACTTGCGTTCTGTGAATGAACGTCGCCTCGTGGTTCCATCCCAAAGAGGGAAGAAATCACTTTCGCGAACGCTCACACTCAATCTGCCCAGTTGGTGGAATGAACTCCCTAACTGCATCAGAACGGCAGAGTCACTCGCTATTTTCAAGAAACGACTAAAAACTCAACTATTTAGTCTCCACTTCCCTTCCTAATCTGCAATTGCCTCTTTGAATATCACACTAACTGTACAAAAAAAAAAAAAAAAAAAAAATGCAACACTAACACTTCCCTTCTTAGACTTTACAGACCTGAAACTTGCCTTTAGTACTTATTCATTGTTGCTCTTAGTTGTGTAAATTGCTTCCTTGTCCTCATTTGTAAGTCGCTTTGGATAAAAGCGTCTGCTAAATGACTAAATGTAAATGTAAATGTTTATTTTAGCTAATTATTATATTATTTCAGTTAGACTGTTGTTTGTTTGGGAATGCACAGTATCTCAGTGGTTAGCAATGTGGCATTCACAGCAAAAAGGTTGCTGGTTCGAATCCAAGCTAGGTCAGTTGGTGTTTCTGTGTGGAGTTTGCATGTTCTCCCCGTGTTGGCGTGGGTTTTCTCCGGGTGCTTCGGTTACAGTCCAAACACATGCGCTATAGGGGAACTGATCAACTACACTTGCTGTAGTGTGTGTGAATGAGTGTGTATGGGTGTTTCCCAGTACTGAGTTGCAACTAGAAGCTGTGTAAAACATATGCTGGAATAGTCAGCGGTTCATTCCACTGTAAAATGAATGAATGAATAAATCCTGCTCTTGACTGATGTGTTTGGCGCCACCTACTGGTGTTCCTCTAAACAGCCACAGGTCAGATTCTACACTACAGAATAAACACCTAATGCGTATTAACTCTGAAAACAGTTATTTATTTTAGCTACTTATCACTTCATTTTAGTCGTTAGTTTTAGTTTTTCAATTATTTTGCTTTGTTTACATCTCAGTTCAGTTCATGAACATGTGTTTTGGCCAACAGTTTTAGTCTTAAGTGTTGAATTGCTAAATAAACCTCGGGATTTATGAACTTTGAGGCCTGTAAAATGGTTTACTGTTTCTGAGGGAAGCTTTCCCCATGCATAAACCATGTTTTCTGCATTGTTTATGTTTTATTATGCAGTAACTGTGTAATAAAACCAATAACAAAAGTCAGTAAACTGTGCATCTGTGCATGACAGACACCTTCAGCCGTGACTACAGGACTCAAGTGTTTTAGCACTTAATTGCATAACTGTCTTAGAGTTTAGAGACTGAAGGATAAGATGATAAGTTCAGTGGTGATCCACAATGACACATTCAGCTCTTTTCAGACATGCAGTAATTGATCATCAGTACAGGTGTGTCTTAATCAGCTATGCAATTACAGAATAATAGCTTTAGCAATGCTTTGAAGTAAAACTCTCTAATAATAAACTGTTTCCAGGGCGGGGAGGGTTATCATTATAATGCATTTCACTACTGATTTAAATATTATACATATTTTTAATAATGATGCATTTGATTCCACTTCAATTAACACTGATATGTCTACTGATACAGCCTATGTCTAATATGTGAGTTTGTGATGTAAATGAAGCGAGCGCTCCACCTGCGTGCTCTTCCCTGTTCCTCCGTCCGAGCTCAGGATGATCATGCTGTGCTTCTCCATGTGCTCCAGCAGACTGAGCTTCAGACTCCACACCGGCAGCTGCTTTCTCTGCTCCAGCAGGCTGTAGTATCGGGACGAGAACGGCAGCCCGTCGTACGGATTGACCTCCAGATCGGCCAGATCATCGTCCAGCGGCTCTCCGTCCTCCTCCAGATCTCCAGAAATCAAGGACGATATGGAGAGATTATCCAGAGCCGAGGCTTTGGAGGACATGCTGAATGCGGACGGGCCGCTGACCGAGCCCTGAGGAACACCGCTCATCAAAACTACCTGCAGAGATGACATTAAACACCATATCAAGCATGTAAACACACATATGAGAACCAGTATGAATGCATCTACAGTGTCCGTCTGCATGATACTGCACACATTGCAGCACCTGTGAGGACGCAGATTTAACAAACAATATCTTGAGGAAATCTGCATGACATATCTGGAAAATAATGCAGTATTGTTGATGAGTATTGTGACTGCTATAGTTCTTATTAAAAATGCTTTCTTATTAGCTGTGTTTATAAATCATTTGTTTATTTATGTAATGATAGTATATGATATGGAGAGGTTATCCAGAGCCTGAATGCCGATGGGCCACTGAGCGGGCCATGAGGGACACCACTCATCAAAACTACCCAACCCAGGCTCATTCTGATTATGTACCCCTGTATACATTTCTGGAGAGCCCCAAATATGTCCCAGGAGCTGTTTATTTGTAGCTTTTGTTTTCGTGAATCCACCAGAGGGCGCTGTGTATGCTTTTTCATATCTCAAATTTCTCCTGCGAGTGTCATTCACGCCTGCAGTTCTCATGTAAATCCACTAGAGGCCGTTGTCGACTGACTGACTGACTGCAGTTGGTACAGACTTAACATGCGGCTAAAAAGAGCACACACAGGATGATTAATACAAATGAGTCTATTGCGTAGTGTGAAATTTTGTTCTTTGGCAATGAAAAGTAATGCCTCGTGACAGTTTTCCTATATTTATTTCTGCATATAACCATTTTTAACAAATTTATGTTTTTATTATTATTACTTACACATTATTAGGGGCCAAGCACCGTGGGTGCGTAGGCACCTCTTGCTTTCGTTAGCGTTCCTATTATTATTATTCTTCTTCCGTTTCTTCCGCCAGATTTGAATGGCAGCCCATATAGGCGTATGCGGGAAAGTTGTATAATTTGCCACAATGATAGAGGGACAGTATTAACATTAATCAGACCAAATATATAGCCTCAAAATCAAACTCTCTAGCGCCACCACTTGTCCAAACTTTCACGTATGTTTATCATGATAACTTTTGAACAGAATGGGCTACAATCAAAATTCTTTTTTCCTCTGATTCCTTGGCTCAGTTGGATTCAAACGCACTCTATGACGTCATTTTCCGTCATGAATTTTTTCGCGATATTTTACATTTTTCGAAAAACCTATTTGATCAAACTCGTCCTAGGCCGTTTCTCTGATTTTCACCAAAATTGAAACACATGATCTACAGACCATGCCAACCAAAAGTTGGAATTCAAGTTGATTCGACCAACTGTTTTCGTTTAACTTGCGATCAAATTGAACGTAGAACTTGCGAAAATGGACTTGAGGCGATATCTCCGTAACGCATTCACCGATTCACACCAAACTTGCCGTGTGTTATGACAACTAGGGTCTGAGGTTATATACTGTGTTTTGGCGCACTGCCCCCTAGTGGTCTGGAGATACAAAAAACTTGCTTTTTTGGTTTATAACGTCTCAACCTTCCGTCCGAAACTCATAAAACTGCTCTCATTACATCCGGCAGAGCATGTGGAGTCGAATGATGTCTGATTTTCACAGGTCAGCCATTTTGGGCAGCAACCATTTCGATTTTCAGCCAAGAATGCTATATTTTACCAACATATTCACACATCATTACAAAACATGGTATGCATCTTCAACCCCATGCCCTGAAAGTACTCAAAAACTTCTGGAGCAGCGCCACCTTTTGGCCAAAAGTGCTTGGCCCCTTAATTGCTGCTTGCAGCTATATATTTATTATTGTTGTTGTTGTTGTAACACAGAGTCAATCTATAAATAGGTAAGCTGCATCTGCTCAGGTTTGAACTTACAGATGTGTTGAGATGACAACAAGACCTGGACGAGTTTAGCATTATCCTGGATTAATAATTAAAATCATTAATAATCAAATCCAGGAAACCGAGGATGAAAAGCAGACGAATACAGAAATGCAGAACCAGTGCTTGCAAAAACAGGCTATTTTACATTAATACATTAATGTTAACTCAACCTGAAACAATACAGCATGCAGCACTACTATGGTGGTTATTAAAGTGCATTCTCATGCAATATTGCATGTTATTCTCATTAACTGTGCAGCTCGAACATTATTAATCCTTAAAATGCTCAGTTCACCTTAAAATGTGGATTCTGTCATCATTTACTCCTGTTCCAGCAGGTTTGAGTTGAACACAAATGAAGATATACTGATGAATGCTGGAAATAAATGGACTCAAGCAGTAATTATTTATTCCTAATATTAATATTAATGTCCAGCATTCTTTGGTAGATCTTGTTTAGTGTCCAAAAGAAGAAAGAAACTCAGTTTATAAGCACTTGAGAGAGTGAGTAAATAATGAGGATTTTAGGAGAGCAGTGAAGAAAAGCAGCTGAAGCTCTCAGTAATTCTACACATGTCAGGAATCCAGCTCATATCCTCCAGCAACACACACACACACACACACACTGATACACTGCAAACACAAGCTGCCATGCATCTATACCAGCATGTTTTACACAGCGGATGCCCTTCCAGCTGCAACCCAGTACTGGGAAACACCCATACACACTCATACACTACGGCCAATTTGGTTCAGTTCCCCTATAGCGCATGTGTTTGGACTGTAACCGGAGCACCCGGAGGAAACCCACGCCAACACGGGGAGAACATGCAAACTCCACACAGAAACACCAACTGACCCAGCCGAGACTCAAACCAGCAAACTGAGTCTGATAATACATGCAGTGGATTAATACTGAAAACACACTCAAACACCGTGCTGACACACTACAGTGGATCATACAGGAGAGCAGAAGTGCCATCGAGACATTACCTGAGATGTTTAAACAAGACACAGTTATTTGCTTGACTTTGACACGCCTAACAAACTAACCAGATCAGCATTACCATGTGTGCACTGCCGTACTTAAAAAAAAAAGCTTT